CAACCATTAACTTTCGTATTAAATATTTGTCAGCACAGGCACAAGCTCGGGAAATAGGAGAAAATAAGGTGTTGTGGGGTTTATTGTCCTATTGTATAAGGTTCTTCAAGGCCTTACTGTGCCTGGTGCTCGGTACCTGACCAAAGAGCTTATAAACTAAATATAGGACAAAAGCAACAGGTGCAGGAAAGGTGAGGTGTGGTAGAAAAGTTTTCTTGTTTGATATAAAGACCCTCAGCGTTCTCTGCATGAATGCTGCCTGCCTTTTTTTTTTTTTTTTTTTTTTCATTCTTTTCGCATTTTTCAGGCATCCAGTAGGCAGGAGGTTCAAATTTAAGAATCAGAAGCAGCGTTATGATGAGTGAAAATGTCACTTCTGCAGGGGGAATGGACCAAATAGGCAACGTGAGCTAATGTCAGCCCCTGACATCCACCTGCCCTGACAAACGTGAAGCTGTCTGACAAATGGCAGGGTCACCCTGTGTGCAGGACCTGTCTGGTAAAACACAAGTAGTGTTTGTAATGGAAAAGAGGAAATGATGTGGACAAATTAAAAAAAAAAAAAAAAAACTACAAAAAAGATCTCAGTAGATTGCTTTGAACTGAACCAATGAGGTCCAAGCTCTGTTTGTCAAGATCAGTAAACACAAGGAGACAAGATGTTGATGTGAACCTAGAGGCTGGATTCATTTAAATCATATATGAATAGGTATCTATGCTGCTAATCATCTAGGCTCCCTATTGGAGAAGGATGAATTATATGGAGAGGTGCCCGTGTTCTCAGGTCCTTACAGAGGAAATTCATATGCTTACGTTTAAGTGACAAGGAGATCCATTCAGAAACTATTTGGGGGTGATAGAAGGAGGTTCTAAACTTTCATAGTAAGAAACAGTAACAAACTTAGAATGCTGAAATATGGTGATTTTTTAAAATAGTAGAAATATCAGATTAAAGTACAATATTCTATATGAGATTTAGGGACCATTGTACTTGCAAGCCAGGTTGCAGAAGCAGAAACTATTGCTTATTCCTGCTTAATGCCATTGTTTGTTATGCTGTGTGGTCTTCCCCATGAAGCTCCCAACAGTGCAATTGTTCAGGGGTCTGTTTCTTTTTATGGCTTTATTTTATGATAAACATACTTTAGTGAACTGCCATTTTAGAAAAGTAATGGTCCACAAGTGATATACTGTATTCTTCATGAGACCATCCCTTCCCTTCCCCTGCCCTCTCCAAACTAGCTAGATATTGAAAATGATGGAGAATGCAGTAATCTGCTACCTTTGATATGGCATGGGGCATCTCTGGACATCTCTGCTATGTGGCCTGAGATCTGCTGCATAGAGCGTGTGTGTTTGGTATGACCTGTGTAGTTAAAAATTACCTAGGGCTGGCTCATTTGAAAAATTCTCTCCCAATTCTGTGTAGTCAAATCACTGACACCAGATACAGTTCTTAACACACACGCGTGCACACACACACATACGCGTGCACACACACACACACAACCTTGAATTTGGTCACTTTTCTGAGTACACTGAGAAGTATTTTAGAAGGTTTTTTATAGAGGTTCAAGGGTACATTCATAGCTCAGAAGTTTGGGTCAAGTAATAAATTGTTTCTAAAGTAAATTTTTAATGGTGAGGGATATGATAAATTACCCAGCTGTTGTGGCACCCAGACATATTCCAGAGACAGTCCTATTTATTGTTGAGATATGAGGATAAATCATTATCAGCTATCTCAACTTCACTAAGATGTAATAAACCATTATTCATCACTCACAGCAGAACATTTGAAGTCATTCTATTTAATATATTTTTGATAATAGAAATGGAAGCTAAACAATTTATATGCAAGGGCTTGTTCTTAAACATGGTGGAAGTGAGGAAATGTGATGTTCAATATAACTCGATCAAGTAATGATTCTGAAGCTGTAAATCAAAAGACAAAGGATTTGGTTGAATAATCCTTTCTGGAATAGTATCCTTAAATTATGGAACTAAGTATATCACTTACTAAAAGCTTTTATTGTTAAGTATGCGCTGACTTCTCTTTTTTTAAGACAAGTAAAAGCACAGCTAGTATAATTTGTAGAGGAAAATGCAAGCATATGACAGTGTCTCTAGCACCGTTTTCCAGTAACCAAATAACGCCAGCAGGATCTTTTTTTCCTCAGTCTTTTAACAGTTCTGCTTGTACTAGTCTCCAGAGACAAATAAGCAGTTGATGTGGGGAGTCAATTAATTCCAGCTGCATTCTGTTAATGTACAGGAAATCTAATTAAACCTGGGAAGCTGACATAAGCTGCCATTCATGATGCACGTGATTTTCCTCAGAACATGCTGCCTGCTGTAAACCTTTGGGTGAAAGGGTGGGTTTTAGTTAAGGCTGTGGTTTCAGATCAGAGTTCCCTGCCTGGCTCTGCCCTAGGCTAAATACATGAAGGTGATCTTTGAATCTGTGCATCTCCAGTACTCCGTCTCTTTAAAATGGAGGTAATGGGTCTTCCCTTTTTCCAACTTCCACGTATATCCTAGAATAAGCTGTCTGGGTCAGAGACTCTTACTGCATGTCCCTGTATCGTGGGACATAACGTGGGCCTAAATGTTGGTTGACTGCTGTCTATTCTGCAGACAAGAATCTGTATGTAGACAGATACCGGTATGAGCTGGACAACTCTGTTCTTAGGAAGATGCCTGTTAATAGCTCCCTACACCACCCTGCACCCCAAGAATCCTCAGTTTTGCCTTGAGTGTTCAGTAAAACTGTATACAAACAGTTAACCTCAATCTTAAAAACTAGTGCTCAGAAAGAGAAATTCTGAAGTTCTATCACTATGGTATTCCTCAAAGCAAGGGTTTGGGATTATGAAACATAAATTCAGTTATCACCTCAAAAGAATTTGGTTATTATCTTGTGTAGTCTCAATTAAGAGCTAAATACAAACCACTTACAGACACAAAGTGATTTAAAAGAAATAAACGTTCTAGTGTGTAAAAAGATAACCCTTATGTTTGAGCACCATTTTATAGGCAAAAGACAAAACAATGTTTTGTGCACCAGAAGTGTTCGTAATTGTTTTTGCTGATTCTCTGGAAAAGAGATGTTTTTGCCCGGGAATGGTGAATCCTCCCACGTATGGATAAATGCTAAGTATGAGGTGGAAGGCTCTTCAGGAAGAGACTGCAGGCAACATCCTGAATGAGTTATGTTTATAGGAATCTGGGGGGAGGGTTGAACAGAAAGAAAGAGAACATTTTGAATCTGGAATAGAAATTTGGAGATTTGCATACAAAAGCTTCATGTCTCCAAGTCTTAATCCTTTACATAAATATGCTTATCTCTACTTTGACCGTAACCTGAATTTATGTTAAGGGAGATTTCAGAGTAACAGGTAAAATTAGGTCATTTTACTCCTACAGCCCTTGAAATCAAGGCGTTTGGCCATTGTCACAGTGCTTAGTGTGCAACAGACTTCTATAGGTTCCCTGATGTTAAGAGGGTATTTCCCTGCTTTGCTGCATGAGCTGATATAGAGATTGATAATATAGTTGTATGTCTATTAAAAAAAAAAAAAATCCATCTTCTCACTGATTAGTGCACTAAGCAACCAGAAGCAGAACAGCAGGAAGAATTCCTGAAACTAAAGTCCCCCAAAGAGCTTGTATCATCCAGCGGAAAATTAGTTTGGAATGTGCATGAAGTGCCAGTATGCAGCTCTGATAATTTAAAGAGTGGGTGCAATATAATGTTTGTATAGTGGTGCATTTCAGCTACTTTAAGATGGTATACATAATGCTGGATAAAAGAAGTGTGACCAGTATGTCGGAAATCACTGATGAAACTGAAACCATTGTGTTAGCTATTAAGAAAGAAATATAGTATCATAGTGCAATTTCTGTCACTGGCTCAATACAATATAAATTGCTTTATAGCACTAGATTTATGCTTTTGGCGTGAAAAAAATCCAGAAATAATTACACTGTATCATGTTTTTAGAGTATTATGTGAAGACAGAAGTGAAGAGAACTCTCATTAGCTGACTCGCTTATTTTTTGCGTGTTTACTCAATAGGGACTTAAGTCTGTCCTGTTCCTCACCCCCCCCCTTTTTTTTTTCCCCCAATCTTGGCTCTGCAATTAGGAATATGAGAACATGATTTTTAAAAAGTTTCTAATGAGCTTTTTAATGCCTGGTAAAGGTAGGGGTTTCTTTGCAGGGGGAGTTGTCATTTGTTTTTTGGTTTACTTTTTTAATACTGTGTGGGTGCTGGATACTTAGCCAGTGTGAAGGCTTGTATTAGTGAATTCTATCCATCTTTGACTGGGGCATAGGTATAATCTTTCCTTTACAGTATGCAAAATAGGAGTTAATGAATGTACATCAGTAAACACATTTTCCATGACTCTGAAAGCTTTGTTGTTAGGAAACTGTAATACTGTGAAAAGATCTACCACGTTGCTCTGGGCTTATCTATATAAAATATAAATCAAAATGTAAACATTAAGAGTTAGATTATAAAATTGTCTACTGTTAAAGCTTGAATGAACCTAATGCTGCTCCTTAACAGAATTTTTCCCCCTTGCTTCCTGATTCTGGATAATAAAACCCAAAAGAATTCGGCTCTGTGTAAGAGTAATCTGTGAGCTTGGTGCCCGCTCACCTACCCCTCAAAAAAAACCCCAAAGAGTAACATTTTAGCTTTATTGAGCTCTATGGGAAAGCTTCCATTGACTTCACTCAGGCCTGAAGTTTGTTCAGAAGCTCATTTGAATCTCCCTTCATTTGATACTGTGCTGAGTGCACACACCTGTTTTAAGTGCAGTCTTTCTTGCTCCTTGTGCTTTCAGTGCATCTATGCTATGTGCAAAAACTTTTCTGGAGTTGCAGATTGGAATGTATATTTCTTTTCATATTTGTAGTGAACCAATTGTTATTAATCATTTATTCAGTGAACACTGAAATTTTCACTTTTTCCTAGGAACCAGCATTTGAAATGCTTCCGGTAACTGGGAAAACAATAATATTTGATAGCTTTCCTGATCCTTCAGATACCTGGGAAATAATTGAGACTATTGGCAAAGGAACATATGGAAAAGTTTTCAAGGTATTAAATAAGAAAAATGGCAGCAAAGCAGCAGTCAAAATCTTGGATCCTGTTCACGTAAGCTACTTAAATTACTTGTGTTTCTGTTTCTCATTCAATTGTAACTGAATTTATTATATAATTTTTTTTTTAAGCTTGGTATATTGTTTACATTAGAATTGATAGAGAAATAAATTGCTTCAACCTGTTAACTAAAATATATTTTCTAGCTTTCAAAGCATTTTTCACTTGATAAGTTATCTTGGAAGTGGCTGCATATGGTGAAAGTCAGAAACAGAACTAAATTTGATTGCTTTCACTTTGGATTATCCCTTGTTGATCTTTTACTTTCAGAAAAAGAGCTGATTATTTTCCCTGGCAGTACCTGGAGTTCCAGCTTCTTATAGTTTTACTGTTGTTCCTTTTCCTTTTTTTACATACTAACCAGTAGGAAAATTATGCGCTTTTAAGTGTATCAGATGTAGCTTCAAATTTTGAGTATGTGCGTCTAGCTGAGTGATATGCTACGAGTGACGCTTCAAAAACAGAACAGTGTACATTATGATTGTTATTATTGGTTCTGCATTTTCAGAATGTGCCAGAGTACTTAGATATCACAGAATGATCCATCTTTTCAAGCGGAAAATACAAAGGCAGTGACTCCTACGCAAAAAGCACCAGGTGATCAGGAGGTGGAATTACTATGTAGCAGAGCGTGTTTTGTTCCCAATAACTGGCATTTGTTGGGTGGCAGATTACTGCTCAAAGAGTCAAGAAGAACTCTGTCCCGTTAGTCTGGTTTGTAAAGGCAGACCCCATTGACTTCGGTAGTGTTGCATGTGGCTTCTTGGGATTTTTCTCGAGAACAGTAACCAGCAAAACATGGACAAGGAGCTGTTGCTGCTTTTCCAGTCAAAAGGCCCCTTTAGTTCTCATCTTTTGCACTCCCAACACAGATTCTCAGTTTCTCTTTGGCTCGTAGGTCTCGCGTGGTGGATGCTGCTGACTGGTTTGCCACCATCTGGTATACACGTGCATACACGTGATGGCACTGTACAGCAGCAAGAGGAGGTGTTTGTAGCCCCAGCTGCAGTCCAGCCTTGTGCTACATATTTGCCTCGATGTGAGATGTGTGCTACCACTGTGCAGCCCTCGGGAGGAAGAGAGGGGCATGTTGTGCCTCATGAAACACTGCAGGCTGAGTTCTGGGGCTGCATGGCAGCACACGTGGGCTCTCTCAATGCCTTTGTCAGACTACAATCCTGTGGCCTTTAAGTCCATGAAATGTGTTTACTCTCTTGTATTACCCTTGTTTCCTGTAGATGTGCTTTTCCATTCAGTATGCTCTCAAAGCAACAAAAGGGGGCTCATCTCACTTCAGCATCACGTACCTCTTCAAAAGCAAACATGATTCACAGGCAAGCGATAAGGATCTTGGTAAATTCAAATGCACAGGAAACATTTTTGACTCTATTGCTTTATGTAAACAAGGTTGCTTGTTTTGAACAAGCAGGACTGACGTGCAGTTGGTGTTCATCAAAATGCCTGTGTGGTAGGAAATGCTTCTGCTTCCATCTGTCCTACAAGAACTCAGGGATGATTCTTAACCAGTAACTGGTTGTGGGAGGGGATTATTGAGGGAATCAGGAAAACTTTCAATGTTGTATACACTTTGAAAGTTGTATTAAAAAGGAAAAGGATGAAGATGGGAGGAAAGAAGAGGAAATAAAGCTGCCGCTAGGGAAAGCAGAAAGAAATTAAATAAAATGTAAGGGAGTAGAACATGAAGAAGCCAGAAGAAATGAGAGGAATACACTGAGGAAAGATGCAATGTATGAAAGTGAAGAAGGAAAAAGTTAGAACTGCTAAAACCAGGTTCCTTATTTTGATGAAAAAATTTAGATAGAGTACCGTCTTCTTGCTGTTTCTTTGGAAAACTATTCAGTAAAAAACTATTTTTTCTCTTGAGATCACTTGAAGATTAAGGTTTTCCTCATTCCACCTGCCAAAAACCCTAATTGTCACCCTGACTTTCCATAAACTGAGAATTTGCAGTTGAAAACGTTGAGAAATTGGTTTTCCAGTATACTCCTGATATTTTCTCAAGGTGGCAAATACCTGTTTTTTGAGAAATTCAACTTGTTTGAAAACTAGATTTATTTTTTTCCAGTTGAATTTTCTAGTGGAAAATAATTTGATCTACTTTGTAAAAGATGGCTTGTTCGGTGGCCAAAGAGGTCAGCTGAGGTCACTTGATAGGTGGTGAAAAGTCAGTAATGCAGTCAACATTAAACTCTTAAGACTTTACTTTTTAACTGAATATCTACTCCTTTATATTCTGATATACTATCTTTTCCTCCCTTCTCTTTGTGAGATGTCTGAAATAGCTACTGAACTTACATGTCACTGCTAAAATGGCAATCCGATGTTAGCAACAGATTGAAAGGAATATACTGGGCCTCCTCTTTTTGTTTAAACTGAAAATATTATTGGTGGCTGCAGAGGGAGCCATTGCAATGAAGAAAAAGGTACATTGTGGATTTTCTTCTTTAAATTTTACAATTTTTTTTCTTTGAAGGTGATTTCAGAATTGTGCGACTTGAGTTTCACTAAAAAGCAGGAGGAGTGCTTTTATATCACTTGGTATAACTAATACTTGCAAATTAAACTAAGAAATTACATTATTGTAGATGACATGTGATTGATGAAAGCATTTCTGTTTAATTCTTCGGGAGCTTTCAGATTCCCTCTGAATAACAGCTCAGACTTTTGAAACTGAGTAGGTAAGTGAAGATGTTGAAAATGAAAATAGATGAAGATGGAACTGAGAATGTTCTTAGTCTTGTCCTCAGGGCTGCAAGTAAATACCATTGTGCTTTAGGAGTTTTAGCCAAGTTATCCTGCAGATATTCCCTGTACTGTTTCTAAAATAGGTGCTCTCTTTTGCTGTGTTCTATGCAGATAAATGTGAAGTTCAACCAAATTATCAAGTTTTCCTCTGTCATAAAGTGCAGAGGAAGATTTTTTTTTTTCCTTTCTATTACGGATAGAATTAATATTCTGTTCATTATATTCTCTCTCTTTCCATTTCTCCTCATAATGGTAAAAATGTCATAAAATCTGAGTGCCCCTCAGGAGACAGAAACCTCTATTAAATCACAGCAGGGCAGTGAGCTAATTCTCTTCCAATTTCCCCAAGGCAGCCATATCTTTTGTGTGTAGTTTTTGGCTTTTGGCTGTCTTTGGTTTTTTGTTTTATGATCTCTCCTTCTGTTTTTCCAGATGCCTCCCTCTAACTCTTCAAAGCATTCATTCTTTCGTCATTCCTTCTCTTTTTTGATGGGGCTATTCTGTTTTGGGCTTATGGAAAGTTAATTTAGAGTGAGTTCCTCCTTTTTTGAAAGAGAAGAAAATGTCTGCTGTTTTTTGCCTGCTCCAGTGAGAGATCTCTGAAGCCTGGCCTTGTGAGAGGACTTAATCTCGTGAAGTCAGTATGAAAATTTAACAGCCCAATTCCTGAATACACTGGGGAAGGGAGAAGAAGAGGGGAAGTTCTTTGAGACCAATCAAGAAATGCCTAAAGGCTCACATGAAGATCATGAACTTGATTTAATGTTGGAGAGATCTGTATATGAAACAAGTGAGCGAAGTCCTCATGTTACAACTTAGGGGCAGGTGCTCAAAATGAGAGGAAATCTTATTTTTGGGGACTACAAATATCCCTTTTTTTCCACTGCAATCACTTCCATTTGGTGGTGGTGTGGCAAGAGAGTAGGGAGGCAACAGATTTTCAGCACTGAATAAGTGCTTCTCACTGAGGCGTGATTAATGGAGTTCATAGGTAGCCTGCCTCTAAAATTGATTTTTCATCTTTGTATTTCTCTTTCAACTCACTCAATTACAAATTAAAACAAATCCCATTGTTTAGTTCTTGAAAAAAATCTTGGGAAATGACTACAGCTGTCCTGCCTCTACCTGTGACCAGGATGCATTGAATACCTCTCAGCATGACTGAACCAGTCTGCTAGCATCCTTCTGTAGGCCCTTCCAGGGCCCAGATGGAAGGGGTCACTTGAGTTGCCCAGTGCCTGCAGTTGCTGGCATCTGTGTTTGGTCTGAAAGGGCTTGCACAACACATGGGTGTGATCGACAAATCTTGTCCTCTCCTCTCACCTCGCAGAGGACTTCTCTCACTGTATGAGAAACCCAAGGTCTGTAACAAAAGACTGACAAAAAGTCACTACTCTTGCAGCCCCAAGGAAGAAACCAGAGAGATCATGGATATCACTAATTTCTGTGATAGTAGAGAACGTGCTATAAAAGTTTCCAGATGATTCCAGAAAGAGAAATAACAAACTAATAAGATGTGGCTGCAGTCATGGTTGGTTGTGCATAGAGAGGAAGAGAAGTAATTCCAGCTGCACTGTTTCTAGCTGGGGACACCCTCCGGACTGGAGAAGTAATTTGTGACTTTCTGATACCCTGGGGCATCTGCATGCTCTCCCAAAAACTCACCTGCCCCCTTCTACCCCCGTGTGGGTTGCAGTGACTTCAGGTAGGCTCCTGTTCACACCAGGATGTGATTATCTTGAAATGCTCCTTCCCCATCTTACTAGGGTGTGCCCCTACTACCCTGTGTGCTTTAGCTGAAATTGGTAAAGACCAAATAAAAAACAGGTGATTGTTTTTTACTAAGTAAACAGAACCAAGCTTTGTAGCCCTGCAAATGGTAGACTAATGCCTGGTCTGATTGACTGATTTTTTTTCTTTTGCATTATTTCAAACAAAATTTGAATAGCCTGAAAGCCCTGTGTGTGATTTTTTATTTTTTCATGCATATCATGGCTTTACTAACTGCTATATATTTCTCATTTGTGACACTAGGATATTGATGAAGAAATTGAAGCTGAGTATAACATTTTGCAAGCTCTCTCTGATCATCCCAATGTAGTCAAATTCTACGGCATGTACTACAAGAAAGATGTGAAAAATGGAGATCAGCTTTGGCTGGTTCTTGAGGTAAATAATTCAGAAACACAAGCGTTTTCTTTGAGTTGACTTTTCTATGTTGAGTATAAATCAACAAATCAGAGGCAAATCATTTGTTGTTTTTCTTTAGTGTGGTTGCACGTGTAATGGTGTTGTTTAGTTGTCTTAGCTTTCTCAATTCATAGTGTGCTTTGATTTCAGCATTCTTATTTTGTATATTTATACTGTTAATGCTGTGCCTTCAGAATTAGGGTACAAGTGCTAATAGGACTTGATAGGATTTTCTACCTAAAAATCTTTCTTTGGTGAAAAGCTTGTCATGGAAATCTGCCTCCAGTATCATTTGTTTAAATATCATTAAGCTATGGTATAACAGTTAAAAGTAACCAATACGATGAGGTGGTTTTTCAGTTCTTATCATGTCATTTAGATGATTTGAAAAATCTTTTTTGCAAGAAGAATACACAAATATACATAGACAAACGAGCCAAGAAAATGCAGGCTACTGCCCTCACTCATTTGCTAAGTATTGTTGACAGCAGCAGGATTTCCCCAAATGAAGTCAGAAGAAAGCAGGACCTGTAATTTGTTTCAGTCTTTAATTCCGACTAATCTAGGAGCAAAGAGCTTCATCATTGCTGTTTTCATAGATTCACTGAGACCTAGTCTGCGAAAACTCCCTCCTGTCTCCAGAGGGGATTCTCTTTGATATTTCAGGATTGACTTCAAGATGCCACAAGGGCAAATGAACAACAGTGTCTCTGCCAGGAATAGTATGGCTTTCACAACAGTCAAGGCTCTTGCTGATGTTTGATCAGTGTTTGATAAAGTTAAGATTGAAGAATTTTTTGTATTTTATCATTTGCCAGCTAAATGAGTACAGCCCTTCTGCCAGATACCTCGAATAGCAGTGGGATCTTATGCATTTTTTAGAGCTTGGTCTGGCATAAATTCTAACAGCTTTTCCAAAGTCTTTTGACTTACATAGAGTTTTTTAAATAATATTTTCCCTTGGAAACCATGATAAGTGATTAGGTTACACTGAGGTCGAAAGATGTCAGCTCCTCATGTAATGAGAATCTTTGAAAATCTAGCTTCTGTTGTGTCTGCTGGGCATTTGAACCTCCATCTCTGAAACTTCAGGCATGTGCAGGGCTGATGCCAAACAATCAAGACAGGACAGACTGTATGAGGAAATATTCAAGTGCTTATACTTTAACTTTATTTTTGGCATGGCTTTATTTTTTAAATGTGAAAAATGCAAGCTACATCTGGAATATAAGTTTAATGTTTACTCTTTGGGTGCAAAGCTGTATGCATGCATATGCTGCTATGGAGTCTGTGAAAGTGTCTTGGATGCTTTCTACACATCTACTACACATGTAGAGCTGTGAATTCAATAGGTTTTTAACTTATGTATATACACGTAGACATGCATGAGTGAAAAATTAAATTCCAGTGGTAACTTTGGTGAAGCTCTTCTTTTAATAAAAATATCTGTGAAAGAAAACCATCATGGAACAGATTCCTCTGTTGAAGTGTCACCTTCCTTTTAGCTTGTATGCAGCTTTATGGGGCTGTTTCATTTATTTAGGTGTCTTACAGTTTATAAAAATGAAGATATTTTCTTTTCAGTATACTTATTTCTAAATCCATAAAAGCAGTGGTTAGTCTTTAATTTAGCTTAGAGAGTTCTGTTTCCATTGTTTAGGGTTTTGTTTTTTTTTTATCATAAAGGAGCGTTTTCACTTCAGAACTGTTGCTTCCCTGAAGAGGACTCTCTTCAACCTGGAAATTTAGATTTGGGGAGGGTCTGTGTGATCTTCTTAAATGAAGATGGACCTTTTGCAGTCAGAACCTAGTCTGGAGATAAGTTTTCAAGGAGAGGCGAGCCAAACCGTAGACCAGTCTAGTCTGAAGAATCTGAAGCAGCTTCCACATTAGTTGAATGCAAAATGATGGAAAGGGGCAGAAGTAGGGAATTCAGTGCAGAGAACTAACTGCAGTCTTCTGGATTCCCACAAAGCTGTAGCTTCCGGGAAGAGCTTACATGAGCAGAGTGATGTTGAAAGCAGAGCTTGTTGATCTAGTCTGCTTTTGTGCTCTGTGATGGAATCGGTGGGTGGGAGGTTTTGAAGAGAAAGCTTCCGACGTTCACTAAGAATAGGTTGCGATAGAAAGCTCCTGACGTTCACTAAGAATAGGTTGTGATAAATGGTAAAACTCAGCCTTTAGGAATGGACTTAGAGCTCCTACTATAGTTTAGCAGCAAAATTACATTGTGGAGGGTTAGACTTTGCCTGTGCGGATGTGATAAAAACGTTTTTTTTCTAGAGAAAAAAAATTGAGCCACGTGTCTGTAAGACATGTCCCATGCTATACATCAACAGCAGGTTAGTCTGGGAAAAAGACTAGTTGCTAGACTTCTTTCTCCCTAATGCAGTCTACCACGTTGGTTATATGAGCTGTACTGTCCAATTCTTACATGTTTTTTTAGTACAACAGTCATGTAAAGCTATCACTCTAGCTTGTAAATAATGCTGTTTGGTTAGCTGCGGTTGTTTGGGGTTTTTTTCTTTTAATCAGATCAAAAATCCATCTAGGTTGTATCTTCTGTCTTTCTGTCTGACTGGGGTCAACTGTGGATGTCTGTTGGCTTGGATCATCCATCAGTTTTCTGTGTGTGTACAAGCCAAAAGCAGTTGCTTCAAAATGATGGTAAAGATTTGTTACAGAATAATTCTGGGTAGACATGAAGTTTCTTCATAACCTCCTTACTTAATAACTGCCTAATAGCATGCGTTTTTACAGAAAATCTTTTTGCAATTTAAGGTGAAATTCCTCATTTTCTACTGAACGTTTTGATTTCATTTTCTTGGTTGTACATATCTGTCTCTGTGCTAATGTGCAGAATATCTAACTGATCCTGTGTAGCGCTTTTGAACATGCAACATTACATGTTAGAAATATGCTTCTGGGAGCACAGGAGCTAATTATTCATTTGAAGAAAAAATTCTTTTTAAAAGAAACAAACACTTTTTTGATATGATAAAGAATCAGGAGAGCTCTAGTCAATCTTCTACTTTGATTTAACCTGTCATGGTACCTCTAATCAGTTAAAAGTGGTAAAAGTAACTGATTAAGGTACTATTTAAATAAACTTGCATAATGATTACTTGGAAAAACAAAGTTCAACAACCTTTTCTGGTAAACTACTTCTGTGTATGGCCTCTCTAGTACAGTATTTGTAGGAGAAGAGCAAAATTACTCTGTAGTGTTCATCTTAACACATGAAGACCTAAATTTGAGACTGGTAAAGAATATGGATTTTACAAACCATAAACAAGCAAAGAAAAAGTAATGTTGTAAGATCTTTTAAAGTGATTGGCATTTTTTGGTGATAAGGTAACCTAGCTTTCTTAATTCAGCAGTTTTTACAGAAACAGCCTACAGGAATGAATCACAGAATCACAGAATGGTTGAGGTTGAAAGGGACCTCTGGAGATCATCTAGTCCAACCCCCCTGCTCAAGCAGGGTCCTCTAGAGCACATTGCACAGGATCGCATCCAGACGGCTTTTGAATATCTCCAGGGAAGGAGACTTCACAGCCTCTCTGGGCAACCTGGTCGAGTGCTCTGTCACCCTCACAGGAAAGAAGTTTTTCCTCATGTTCAGATGGAACTTCCTGTGGTTCAGTTTGTGCCCGTTGCCTCCTGTCCTGTTGCTGGGCACCACGGAGAAGAGTCTGGCCCCATCCTCTCAACACCTTCCCTTCAGATACTTGTACGCGTTGATGAGATCGCCTCTCAGTCTTCTCTTCTCCAGGCTACACAGGCCCAGCTCTCGCAGCCTTTCCTCATAGGAGAGATGTTCCAGTCCCCTCATCATCTTCACAGCCCTCCGCTGGACTCACTCCAGGAGCACCATGCCCCTCTTGTACTGGGGAGCCCAGAAGTGGACACAGTACTCCAGGGGAGGCCTCACCAGGGCGGAGTAGAGGGGCAGGATCATTCTCCCTCGACCTGCTGGCAACACTCTGCCTAACTCTACCCCAGGACACCATCGGCTTTCTTGGCCACAAAGGCACACTGCTGGCTCATGCTTAACTTGTTGCCCACCAGGACTCCCAGGTCCTTCTCCGCAGAGCTGCTTTCCAGCAGGTCAACCCCCAGCCTCTGCATGGGGTCATTCCTCCCTAGGTGCAGGACCCTGCCCTTGCCTTTGTTGAACTTGCAGGAGGTTCCTCTCTGCCCAACTCTCCAGCCTGTCCAGGTCCCTCTGAATGGCAGCACAGCCTTCTGGTGTGTCAGCCACTCCTCCCAGTTTAGGATCATCAGCACACTTGCTGAGGGTGCACTCTGTCCCTTCCTCCCGGTCATCGATGAATACGCTGAGCAAGACTGGAGCCAGTACTGACCCCTGGGGGACACCACTAGCTGCAGGCCTCCAACTTGACTCTGTGCCACTGATCACAGCCCTCTGAGCTCGGCCATCCAGTCAGTTCTCAATCCACCTCACCGTCCGCTCGTCTAGCCCACACTTCCTGAGTTTACCTACAAGGATAAGAATTCCTCTGTATAGAATAACAGTGCTCTTACTGAGCTCAGTAACACCCTACTCACTGCAGGGTGCACTAGGAGGGTTTGAACACCTGCCCCTGGGTGGATGCTATTCCAGTCACACTTACGATAGAGAATATTACTAGTGAGGACTCCTGCAAGGGTGATTAAGCTTTGTCATGTGCGTTGAGAAATGCAGGCCAAAGAAATTATCCTATTCAGTCTGTGATGAAAAGAAACCTCTTGAGTATTATACTTGGGATGAATCAGCTAAGCAGTTTCATGTCAGCAGACATCAGCATGATGACAGTGCTGTAGCGTGTTTCTTTCTGCTCTGGATGTTAGGAAGGGAGAGGGTCTGAGGAGGTAGAAAACAGCTGATGGAAGGTGGAGCAGAGAGGCAAGTCATATCGGGTCCCGCAGAAGAGCGTGCAGGTCAAGGGCAGGTGGGGAGCACAAGTGGAACAGCA